AAAGCTGCGGGACCAGATGATCTTCCTTCAGCCCTCTTCAAATTCGGGGCACCTGCTCTTGTGGATGACTTATATGTGTTACTAGTGTAACCGTGGGAGCAGAAAACTGTCCCAACCGACTGGAGCCGCACCGTTATTGTTTCTATCTTTAAAGGAAGCTCGCGTTCGGAATGCGGCAACCATAGAGAAATCAGTCTGATCTCCATCGCCTCCAAATTATTTGCCTCTGTAATCCTTCACAGACTGACTAGCGCTCGTGAAAGTCAGATTCGTAAGGAGCAATCCGGGTTTCGTCGGGGTCGTGGCTGCATCGACCACATCTTCACTTTGCGTCAGTGGTTGGAGCATCGCCACAAATACTGGTGGCCCACCGTGGTCGTGTTCCTCGACATCAAAGGTGCCTTCGATTCGGTTGATCGAAGTGCCCTTTGGAACTGTCTACTCATGAAAGGTGTACCCGAGAAATATGTAAATATTGTCCGAGCATTATACGCGCGTAGCACGGGCAGAGTGAGGGCTTAAGGCAAGCTGTCGCCGCCCTTCAATATCTCCAGTGGTGTGAAACAAGGATGCCCGTTGTCATCTTTCCTCTTCAAGTTCGCTATTGACGAAGTCATGGAGATTGCATTTACAGGACATGACTTGGAATGTGTGGAGCTATTCCTATGAGAACGACTTTCTGACTTGGAGTTTGCTGACGATCTTGCTCTAAATTGTGACAGCTCACAAAGGTGCCAAGCAGCAGTAGACAGATTAGCACTGGCTGTCTGTCACTTCGAGCTTCGCTTTACACCATCGAAGTGCAAAGCTTTCCTCCAAGATTGGCAGGGATCGCCTCCTGCGCTGACCCTTTGTGGGGATCTGCTAGAAGTCGTTCAGAAACTCAACTACCTGGGAAGTTGTATCAGGGCCCTTGGGATCGAAGACGAGATCACGAACCGTATATCAAAAGTTCGAAGTGCTTTTGCTAGTCTTCGACACCTATGGCGGCGGCGCGACATCACTCTCACCCTGTGGAGTATGCGGACGACATTGCCCTAATCTGTGACAGCTCCCAAACATGCCAAACAGCACTGGACCGATTAGCACTGGCTGTCACTCGTTTTGGGCTATGCTTTGCTCCATCGAAATGCAAAGTACTTCTCCAAGATTGGCAGGGACCCAACCCTGCGCTAACGCTTGGTGGTGATCTGCTAGAAGTCGTTCAGGAATTTAAGTACCTGGGCAGCTATATTAGCACCCGTGGGATTGAAGATGAGGTTACGAACCGTATAGCAAAAGCTCGAGGTGCTTTTGCCAATCTCCGCCACCTGTGGCGCAGACGCGACATTACTCTCGCCCTCAAAGGCAGAGTTTACAACACAGCCGTCCGTTCAACTCTCCTATATGGCTGTGAAACCTGGCCCATCAGGTCGACAGACATGAAGAGGCTCGTCACATTCGATCATCGCTGCCTTCGCAGCTTAGCTCATGTCTGGTGGGAACACCGCGTGAGCAATGAGCGTGTTCGACGTCGCGTATTTGGTGCAGGAAGAGCGAGTGAACCGCTCAGCACGATTATATCACGCACCAGGCTCCGATGGCTGGGCTACGTGTTGCGCATGCCAGCACACCGACTCCCACGACGTGCATTGTTTGCGCGTTGTGGGTGCGGTTGGAAGAGGAGGAGGGGAGGCCAAGTGATGACTTGGTCGAGAGAAATGAAAACCCTCACTTCGAAGTTGGCGTCGGTTGGTGCATCCCGACTGCCTGGCTGGGGTCCTAAGGACGGTGAACACGTTTAGTTGGACACACTTGCTGATATGGCTAGGAGTCGGCCCCAATGGCGCTTGTGTTGTGAGTTCCTTTGTCCATCCCCCTCCTGTTTAGCATCCACCTCCAATCACGATCTCAATCGTTAGGCATAATATGACTTTCTTTTACGGCAGCCAGCTATTAGCTCTCCGGAACGATGTCCATCCGTTACTGGGGACTCAGCGGGTGTCACTGTTTGTTTTTCTTTTCTTGCCTTTTGTATTGCGGCACAATAGCTGAGGTGTTTTCCACCTCCAACTAACGTGTAATGATTATGATGATGATGACTCTCACCCTGAAGGGTAGGGTGTACAATGCAGTGGTACGTTCGGTCTTATTGACGGTTGCGAAACCTGATCCCTGAGATCGGCGGACATGAAGAGGCTAGTTACGTTCGACCATCGGTGCCTTTGCAGTTTGGTTGATATCTGGTAGGAATACTGAGTGAGCAAGGAGCATGTTCGACGCCTTGTTTACAGCACAGTGAAAGATACTGAACCGCTCAGCACGGTTATTTTACGCACCATGCTCCGATGCTTAGGTCACGTGTTGCGCGTGCCAGCCCACCGACTTCTGCGACGTGGGTTGTTTGCGCACCGGGGGTGTGGATGGAAGAAGAGGAGGGGTGGACAAGCGATGACTTGGTCGGGAGGAATGAAGACCCTCACTTTGGAGCTGGCCTCGGGTGAAGCTTCATGGCTCCCTTGTTGGGTAAAAAAGACGATGAACACATTTGGCTAGATACACTTGCTGACATGGCTAGGAGCCGACCTCAGTGACGTTCCCGTTGTGAGTTTCTTTGTCCCTCCCCGTCCTTTTAGCATCCCCCTCCAATCACGATCTCATTTGGTAGCGTAATATAATTTTACATAATAAGTTTTCTTGTTGCCTAGTAGCCGGCTAATAGCTTTCCGGAACGATGCCCTTTCGTTATTGGTAGCTCAGCAAGCATGCAACTGTTGTATTTATTTTCTTTTTCTGTTATTATTGCGGCACAGTAGCTGAGGTGCTTCACACCTCTAGCTAACGTGTATAATGATGATGATGATTGGTGATGACGACGACGACGACGACGATGATGATGATAATGATGAAGATGATGAATGGGTAAGAGAGCTGTCCCAACAGACCGGAGCTGCTCCGTTATAGCCCCGATTTTCAAGGAAGGCTCAAGTTCGAAATGTGCCAATTGTAGAAGTATCAGTTTGATCTCTATCAAATTTGACACGTGCTTTTGTTGTTCGTCATAGACTGACTGGCACATGGAAAAGCCAGATTTACGAGCAGCAGGCCGGGTTTTGTCAAAATAATGACTGTATTAATCACCACTTTGTGCGAGGAAATGGATCGCCGCCACCTCCCAAACGCGCCAAGCGGCACTGGACAGATTAGCACTGTTTTCCAACCGTTTCGAGCTATGCTTTACACCTTCAAAGTGCAAAGCTTTCCTCCAACATTGATAGGAACCGCTTCCTGCGCTGACCCTTGTTGGGAATCAGCTAGAATTCGTTCAAAAGTTCAACTACCCAGGTAGTTGTATCAGCGCGGTTGAGATTTAAGACGAAGTCCAACGATGTGATTTTGCTAACGTTTGCCACCTATGAAGCCGGCGCGATATCACTTCTCCTTGAATGGTAAAGTGAATAATGCAGCGGTACGTTCGACTTTATTGTACGGTTGTGAAACCTGGCCCATTAGATCAGCCGAGATAAAGAGGCTAGTTATGTTCGACTACCGGTGCGTTCGCAGTTTGGCTATCTGGTGAGAACACCGTGTGAGCAATGAGCGTGTTCGACTCCTTGTTTATAGCGCAAAAAGAAGAAGCAAACCGCACAGCACCGTCATTTCACACACCAAGCTGCGATGGCCGGGCCACGTGTTGCGCGTGCCAGCCTACCGACTCCCGCGACGCGTGCTGTTTGCTCGCCGGGGTGTGGATGGAAGAAGAGGAGGGATGGCTTGGTCTAAAGGAATGAAAGTCCTTACTTCGAAGTTTCGCCTCGGTTGGAGCCTTTCGGCTCCCTGGATGGGGAGCAAAAGACGATGAACACGTTTGGCTGGATACACTTGTTAACATAGCTAGGAGTAGACCTCAAAGGCGTTCTGAGTTTCTTTTTCTCTCCCCTCCCATTTAATCTTCCCACAAACTAAGATCTCAATTATGAGGCATAATATAACTTTTTTGCGGCACAAGAGCAGGCCGTTAGCTCCAGAGAACAATGTCCATCCAGTACTGATGACAGCCGGCGTACCTCTATTGCATGTTTTGTTCTTTTCCTTTGTGTTGCAGTACAATAGCTGAGGTGTTTTCCAACTGCAGCTAGCGTGTACAATGATGATTGTGTACTACGTATTACTTAGTATTCTTATTTCGAATGCCCAACTGTGTTGTATTGTGGCACAGCACACGAAGTATTCATCAACTCTAGCTAGCGTGCAGAATAATGAATAAGCTTGTAGTGGCGGAGCTTTTTCACATTGGGGAAATCAACTATGAAATAGTATTATGGAATAACCTTATCCGTGCTCCACTCTAACACAAATTCTTTAATATGATGAATATGTCTAAGTAAGGCAAACATTGTGGATGAGAGCTGGAGTATGAATGTGTATTCAGAATAGAATGTATAGTGTAAGTTGATGACAATTCATCAAAAAGCGAAAGTATACAAATGTTCAGACAACTGAAAACTCACTTGTGCACTCTCCAATTTCGCCGATGGAGACGAGCATCACCTCACAGCTACCAAGCATATGACTGCGTTACCAAGCCCCAGATAGGGGCGGTGGAATGGTGGCTTACCTAAGCTTTGAGCAGATAAGCAGAAGTATTCCTTAGATGGCTCCGTCAGTTTGTGCTAAAACGCTTAGTGACCTCTATCCGAGTCAGTCAACGTAAGCCGAGAGGTAAACATTAGAGAGAAATCGGACACTTTAAAAGTAGTGTGATAGCATTTGGAACAGTGGGCAGTGTCCGTCAAATGACTTAGGGAGCCACTAATTGATCGGATGAACAAAAAACCCAACTGTGGAGACCAGTTACTATGAAACAACAACAAGTAGCTTAGGAGCTATCGAATACACATGTTTAAAACCAATGTATCTTTAATCGAACGTAATAATAACAAGCAACAGAAGCATGGCACAATTATGCTGGTGCAGAGAGGAAAAGAGAGTAGAAATGTGGTCAGAAGTGCAAGGCTTACGTTTCAGACTGGCTGAACGTCGCGGGATCACTTTGGCAGGGCGCATCTGATTTTGTATGTGTGTCATCAGAAGTAGATAATCACTGTCATTCGAAATAGACTCCACGCTAATTAAAAAGAGAGATCACACAATGAACAACCATCTATGTTAATAAAAAGTGGTATCAGGGACACCAAGAGAAAAAGAATATTGGAACAAATGGTTCCTAAAACTCGATTGTTGACAAAAATACACATGATACCTACTTGAGTAAAATACGGAGAAAGTGCACGTAGCGTGTGAAGCAAGGACCATAGAAAATAGAATGAACTGAAAATCCCTGAGCACAATGCACAGAAATCGACATTAAATAAAGGTGAAATGAGAGTTCAATGGTTTACGCATGATTTACGCGTGTCCACATTACACTTTGGTCACAATGAATGACAACCTCGTGCGCTTGGTTGTGATGATCAGTTTGTGCGAAATAAGTTCAAAGCGCCAGTAGTGGATAGTTTGGTACAAACAGTAAGCCAGTTTAGTGTGCCTAAGCTTCCCTGTCATGCAACCACAAGTGGTTGCACAGCAGTTGGAGTACTCAGAACACCAAAAAGCTAACAAGAGTGGGGACTCAAATTCAGGGCGCAGACGCAGCAAGTTACGCGCCAGAACCCCTACACCACAGATCTCTTGAATACGCGTCTCAGTGTGGAAGTCAAGCAAATGATCAAATAATATCGCAAGCATCGCGGTCAACAGAAGTGGTACGCCAGTACATTCTATTGGTGAGTTTATGACATAAAGTCGTAAACTGAGAAATATCCCTACTTACTAGAGAGAGAGGGGGGGCGACTGAACAACCGAATGCCTTGACCGCATATGCGGCATAAAGGTGCATACACACATGGTTATAACCAGATGTAGCGTCATAATCAAAATCATCCCCCAGACAAATCAGAACTGTACACAGTAAACACATGCAGTCCGATTACAAAGAATTTAAAAAAGGGCAACTGGTGCCCGGTGTGTGTGTGTGTGTGTGTGTGTGTGGTGTTTCGTAATGTCCAGGGCTGAACATAATGTAGCGATGGATGAACTAAATTCAAGTAAACAGTCGAAAACATCGTTTGCCGCTGACAAGCCAATAACAGTCCTCCGCAGGTAACAGCCAAATCAAGTATATCTGTTATCGGTACAAAACAAGCGAGTGAACGGATCAAATGCTCAAAAGATACCGAATCATTGTAGTCACTTTCGGTGCGCCAAAGACGCTTTCAACATTATAATTCGAATGCAATTTAAACACTCAAGCCTACTATGTATAATGTTCCGATGAAGAAGATTCAACATGTACCTAGGCAATGTTATCAGGTTGCATGTTCGAAGGTTGGCTGCGCGTATTTAAGCTGAATAATCACTTCGACACATTCCGGATGTCGCCGCCTACGCTCGTTCTTACGCGTTTACCCTTCCATTGGCTAAATCTTGCTATACAAGTGGGTTTTTTTAGTAAAGGTTTACCCAATTCACCCGATCGTTTGCCGTGGTTCTTTTGCAGCTGGCCCACTATCTGCGTATTTAGTTCATAGCGCACCAATGATCGCACTACAACAAGATTGGCATCGATCAGTATGTAAACTAAAAATATGCATGTTCTTTGAAACAAATAAGGGTACAAAAACACCTGGAAAAACAACGAATGCATTAATTACCTGTTTCGTATATGAGCAACGGTATATGATTCACGAACCTAAAATGTAAGCTTGATAATAACGGTTGCATACGGGACCAAAGCTTGTTGGCAGGCCTAAGTTGCGTAACTCGGATTCCAAATCTACATCATCTAATGCAAAGTCTTCCGAGGGGGTTCGAGGTTCTGATGGAGTGGGTATCTCCAACCCACGAAGTGGATGCGGAAAGACAGTTGGAGAAGGTTCGTGTGTTCCTTCAGAATCGGAGGTCGAATCTTCTGTCTCTTCATCTGATGTCGAATTGCGAAGTACTCGCAAAGTATGAGAAACAGAGGAGAAATATTTGCGAGTTTTGAGAACTGGCGCATTAGGTTCGGCATTCAGTGCAGTCTGTTTTGATCGTCCTCTTGACACACCACACTGGAAGTTCCTGGTTCGACGCTTCTGTTTGTTTTCAGTAATATAGGGATAATCGGAAAGCTGTTTTTGCCGAGGAAAGATAGCGCCATTTTTATCAGACCAACCCTTGTATTGATCACTGAATAGGATACAGTACAAGTCCAGTGCTAAAAACATGCAACTTACGCCAAGAAAGCTCTAGTGAATAAAACAGATACAGTATTCTCGGCGTCAAGCAACTGAATAGTTCCGAGGGAGCGCACATGTCGCATCTCCATCCTTTCTCTCCGCTAAAAACGAAAAAGACAAATTCAAAGGGGTGTGCACATCTGGCGCGTTAATGTTGGATAGCGATTCTAGTTTGGATATATATCAGTCACAAGCTGTTGTACAGATATTGTGCCATCTGAATCATAGCGGAATAGGGGAACAAAATCGGAAAAATAAGAAACAACAAGCAACTTTTTGTCCAGTTCCTCACAGATTTATAGTCTGTATTATACATTTTTATTAGAAGGGAAGGAAATCACCGCAATACACAGTGATACACGTTCGCCACTAACGTTGGCCTAAAGGCATGAAACTCCGTAGCTCTGAAACCCCAACCAAGAAGTAGAGGACAACCGATCGAGACCAACGGTTTCGACAGCTTTTTCATGCCGCTCCTCAAAGATGTAGACTGTCCACCAAGCCACCTCTTCAAGACCTGTCCAGCGACCGGGAACAATGTACGATGCGGAAGACGATGGAAGGGCATGCACAACATGTGTCCAGGTCACTGCAGTCGACGCAGCAAGACGAGCTCCTCGAGTGAGTGGCTATCTCCACCCAAAACAAGCTGTTTAAGTTCCACCTTGTTTACGTGGTGCAGCCACCACACCGCAAACAAGGGTGCTCGAAGACAGACAGTCGGCGCAGGTCAACGGTACGAAGAGGCCAGGTATCGCAAAAGCACAATAGTACAGAATGGACAGTCGCACAATAAACCCGCCCTTTGATGGAGAGACAGAAATCATGGCGGCGCCACAATGGCCTCAGGCTGAAGAAAGCGAGGAGCTTTTGAAATTCGCAACGAAATCTCGTCTCCAGCAGCCCTATCAGCAATAATGAAGATTCCCAGGTAGGCAAAACTACCCACAAACTCCAGCGCCTCACCAACCAGAGCAGGTGCAGCTACATGCATCTGTTGGTTTAGAAAAGAGTTTCGTATTTGGAAGGGGATAAGTTCGTGCCATACTTTGACGCTTCAATTGCCAAACGGTTAAGTGCAAGTTGGACGGCCTGTGTACCGTCACTCAGCAAGATGATATCATAAGCGTGATCTAAATCAAATATCTGACTACCTGGGAGGAACCCATCAGCGCACAACAAATCATCCATAGCATTTTTAGAACACCCTCAATGACAAAATCGAAGAGGAATGGAGATAGAGCATCCTTGTCGAACTGCATAGGCAACAGTAAAGGAAGGCGAAAGTTTGCTATAAGCGAAAACTCTACCCGTAGTCAGACTGTACATGGCAGGAAGTACGGAAGTGAACTTCTCAGGAAGGCCATACTTCAACAGACAGTGCCACAATACAATCCTGTCGATAGAATTGAAAGCAACAGGGATATTGAGGAACCAAACAATCGTTGGCTCTCGATACACATGGCGAAGTGTGAAAATTTGATTGATGCAGTCATGCCCAAGGCGGAACCCAGCATGTTCTTCCCGATGTAGCGAGTTGCCGTTGGGGATAGCCTGTGATGGATGATGGACACTCCGTGGCAGACGACAGGAAGCAAACTTATACCCCTGTAGTTGGCACGCATTGTGCGCAGGCCCTTTGTGAAGATGGGGACGACTATCGACTCACCTCTTTTGACCAGACATCTGAGAAAAAGCGGTAAGTTCTCGAACCAACGAATAGCCACCATTCTCACATAGTGTAAGGTAAACCATCAGGACCGGGTGATTCAAAACGCTGCAAAGGGCGGATGTCCCGCCAGATTTCCTGGTGAGATGGAGGATCCGTAGGGATAGACAAATCAGTACCTGTGAGCGTTCCAAAGAAAGCACATGTAGCTGACAGCCAGCAAAACTGCTGGTCAAAATGTTCAACTAATCACTCAAATGGTAGTTTAGGGATTAGGGGGTCATCCTCTTCGCAGATTGTTTCGCTTACACCAGATCAAAAATCTTCCGAGATTCGGATGAGATGGAAAATTCTTCTGGTAATACCAGAGACTAGTCAATTCCATCTCTCTAGCACGTTCACACCACTATGGTCCACGGTAATTTAGAAAACTCATGCGCAATTATCGATCCAAATATCGTCGTTCTTCACTACAGCTGGCGTCGGCCGAGACGGGGCAGCGTCTGTCCATCCGTGACAAGGAGACAGTGTTGATCCAGCTTTTCAGTAGGTGACGAGCAACTCCGCACTATCAATGCTGGCAGAAACTGAGGCATTTTTGATGCACACCTACTGTGAATTCAAATCATCACCAAAAGACGAACCAAGCAGTGTTGACAGAGATGCCTAGTACTTGGCTAACGTCATGAAGTCTTGTAGATTTTTGACGTTCGGTCGGTAGTGTGTACACATGCAGGATCCTCCGAAATGCACGCGAATTTTAGCACCAGCCAATGTGTGATCGGAGTCCACACAAGTTGACCAGCAAGACTGGCAGTCTGTTATGCTTCTGCGATATAGGCAACTTATCGCTGCGATCAAGCTGGGACCACTTGCGTTTATGAAGATGGCACCAGGTAGCCAGACTGTCTCTTCGAATGCCGCCTTATCTTTGCATGATAACCAGTTGTTTGTGATGGAATGTTGTTGACAAGGTATAGGCGCCTTGACCCCAAGTCTTTGTAAAGGGCACTAGGATCTTAGCGTGTGTCCCCTTTCTTTCACTCTTATTATCCTTCGTTACGTAGGTCGTTGTGATTGTACGGTAGCGAAGCATCAGTTCAAGTGGCTCATGTACTGCTGTTGATGATGATCGAGTGTCGAAAACGGGTGCTCGAAAGAAATAAGTTATGCTCAGAACAAAGAGTCTGTCTCCATTGTCCGGCCTACTGCTACCGAGATCAAAACTACCCCCAGGATGGTGCTCTCTTGGTGACAGGCGGTCCACTCGTGAGTTTAAATCGCCAGCAAGAATGGCAAAATCAAAATTTTTGGAGGAACGCAGAAGCTCATGCAGTCGTTGGAAAAAGCCATCCTTGACTACATCTGGGTTGCAGTCTGTAGCAGCGCAGGCGGAGGCGACAAATAAGGCACGCTTAACATCTTGACGTCCACTTAAATTACATGAACCTCGTAGTCTGACTGCACATAACCGACTGTTCTCTGGGATCCAGTCAAGCAGAGCGGTTTCAGCCCTGCCACTGAGTGCAACTCCGACACAAGCCTGGCCAGAACCTGCAGCCTCTGGGTCTCCGAATAGGAGCAAATGATACTCGACGTCAGGCTGTCGGAGAGGACATTCTGTTAATGTGATTTGTTTTCTCTAAGTAGTGAGGCATGACGATGTCACCTCGACTGGTGACAAAACGTCTGCAGCCCAATTGCTCAGCTCGGAGAACAAACGAAAAGCAGACAAGGCAACGGATGTTTACCGAGTGTCTCAAGGATGCCGGCAAAGCAAGTTTACCGTCCGATCAGCATCAGAATGCGAACGATGAGCGTTGCAAGGCCTAGTGGAGAACCAGATCGAAGGAAAACTGGGGCTTCGGGGAAGTATGAGAAGGCTATGATAGCCTGACAATTAATGCTACCAGTGACTTACTTCCATCAGGTGAGACTAGTGAGCTGTTGTTGGCGGTGACCAGGGAGGACATAATCGTAGTTGAAGAACGACAGGTGAGGCGATCTGTGAGTGGGAATTAAGCAATAGATGTGACATCATCATCAGTAATACATACCTCAGCTGTGCCGAAACGCAAAAAGATAGGACACTAAAAATTAGAACAAAGTTTAAAAAGCAAGTAATAAAATGTCAAATATCACATTATGCATTAGATATGAGATCGTAACTGGAGAGGGAAATTCAAAGGGTAAAAGGATGAACAAGTAAAGTCACAACACAAACGCCATATCAACAAGTGTAGCTAGCCAAACGTGTTCATCGCCCTTGGGACCCCAGCCCGACAGTCAGGAAGCAGCAACCGGCGCCAACTTCGAAGTGAAGGTTTTCATTCCTCTCGACCAACTCATCGCTTGGCCTCCCCTCCTCTTCCATACACCCTCGGCAGGCAAACAAAGCAGTTTTCGGAAGTCGGTGTTCTGGAATGCGCAACAGGTGGTCCAGCCATAGGAGCCTGCTGTGTGATATAATGGTGCTGAGCGGTGCACTAGCTCTTCCTGTATCAAGTACACGATGCCGAACACATTCACTGCTCCCACCAGACATGAGGTAAGATGCGAAGGCAGTGATGGTCGAACGTAGCTAGCCTCTTTAGGCCTATCGACACAATGAGCCATGTTTCACAACCGTATAAGAGGGCTGAACGGACCGTTGCATTATAAACTCTAACCCACAGAGTGAGAGTAATGTCGCGCCGGCACCAACGGTGGCAGGGTTTGGCAAAAGGACCGCAGGCTTTTGCTACACGGATCGGGACCTTATCTTTGATACCACCGGCGCTAACATATCTATCCAGGTGAGTGAATTTCTGAACGACTTCTAAATGATCATTAACAGACGTGTCCCTGACAATCTTGGTAAAGGAAGTTGCACTATGAGGGTGCAAAACATAGTCCAAAAGGATTGAAAGCCAGCGCTAATCGGGTCCAGTGCCGCTTGTCACGTTTGAGAGCTGTCACAGATAAGAGCAACCTCGTCACCATACTCCAAGTCAAGAAGTCGCTCATTAGAAAGAAGCTCAACACCGTGTAGATCGTGTCCGGTGAACGCCGTTTCTATGAGTTCGTCAACGGCGAAGTTAAAAAGGCGACAGTGGGAAACCTTTGTCGCACACCGTTGGAGATATTGAAGGGCGGCGGCAGTTTGACATAAACGCTCACTGTGCTCGAACTATGCGCGTATAGAGCTCTCATAATGTTTATTTATCGGGCACGCCTTTCTTGTGCACTCCCAAAGGGCACATCCATCCACCCTTCACATCGAGAGACAGGAGTGCAATGGATAAGACGAGCGAAGAGACACAGCAAGAGCGAAAGCAGA